CCTGCCATACAAGAAGACCTGCCTGGAAAATAGATGGGTTTTGGAACCAAAAAACATTTGAGTCACGGGTTATTTATACTCATTTCAGACCGTAATGCAGGTTAAACTCACGCCGGTGGTCAATTAGAAAGGGTTAATGCGTGTCATCCACCTCGGGTTAAGCACAGGTTGGACACAGCCTGGCTTCGGGTCATAAAAATTGAAGTTAATGGCGCTGACTTCAATCAACATTTGTGCACATTTACTCAAAGATGGAGAAAAGGGCAACATTAGGAGAGGTGGAAGGAGACGAGCAGGAGCAGGCACCGGTGGGTGAGTCAGAGTTTAGCCAAGAACAAAAGGGAACTGTAATGTTTTTAAGTGGTGCTGACTTTAACAAATGTCTGTAATTACATGCATGCATGCACGTGTTTTAAAAATGATGCATCGGTGTGTTAGTGTTGTCACAAGACCAATGGTTCGCCTTCGATGTGATACTGTCTTAAAAATCTTACAATCGATACCTCAGGAAAAACGTAAAACATCAGAAAAAGTTATAGTTTCATAGACGGCGCTTAAAATGAGTTGTTTTTTTATTAATTTAATAAAAGGAAAAATACATTTTGACAATATCTTTGCGAGGCAGCGGAGGATGTGAGGAGGGGGGAAAAAAAAGCCATAAAACAACAGGAGTGAATTATTGTACCACAGTGGGTTCATGCATTTTAATATCCAACCAGGACTGGAGGAACTCTTAATTAAGATCAGCTCTTTACACACTGCTGCTTAGAAAAGGGTAAATTCTTGCCGAGATGAGTGGGAGCAGCGCTTTAGTGAAAATTTTAATCACACACTTTCATTCTTTTGCAGGAATTCAGTTGGCAGTTGCTTATTACTGGTGTTGTTGCACCTGTTGTTTTAACAGCTTGCGACGTAGGTTAAGTTAACGTTACCGGCGTGAACATTGCATTTGTTTGCAGAGGTGTGTGTCACATTGGAAAGTCTGCTAAAAAAAAAAAAAAGATATAACCAGGTACAGTGACTACTTCATCAAACTTTAATGGTGAACACGCTTCGCTGGTTTGCCTTATATCTGCAGACGTGATGTAATTATGTTATCTATCACATTTGCTAATCTTTCGCTCTGTGATCCCTTTGAACAAGTTGGCAGGTCTGTTGGCGAGATGCTTTGGATTTGTTGGCCCCCTTGGTCTGCGTTTGCTGTAAAGATCTTTGTAAAAAAAAACAGACAGGCTTTGTGATGTGTGTGTGTGTGTGTGGGCCCGCTCTGACTGTCAGCTATGTAAGCGAAAACATGCCATATTTAGCTTGGTGCGTCTGCTTTGTCGATAAGTCGTGGACGGCCGGCGAGAGTACTTCTATTTGCAGCCGTGCCTCTCATGTAGTCACTGTGAAAGCTGATGCAGCATGCATATGACAGAAAAAGAAAACGCTTGGCACGCTCGCTAAAGCCTGCAGGGAGCGGAAGCAGACTGCCGCACTCGCATACGGCCGATTCATGCTTTTCCGGAGACACGTGTCCGCAAATTTTACGCGTGGCGTAAATCTCGTCATCCGTCCAAGTCTGCGAGGCTCCGCGGGAAGTCTTCTGCAGATGTCCACTCGCAGCCCAAATTATATATATGACCGCACGTATTAGTCTTAACTGAAAGCTGAATACTCGTGCACACCAGGAAAACAAACGAGGCCTAAAACAATGTTGAGGAGAAACTGTGCCAGGAGGTTTGCTGTCATCTGCACCTTTATGATTCACAATTTAAAGGTTGTAAAGTTGGTAGTTGCTGCCAGGCTTTGGAGGTGCATTGATTTGAACATGTCCAAACACAGCGGGCAGTTCCAAATTCTCCAGATAGCCTGTCCACTGTGTTCAACACACTTTAGGTATAATTACTGTTGCTTAAGTAGATGCTTAAACAAAAAAATGATAAGTCACAGCCTTTCAGAAACATCCACATCCATCCATCATCTATACACCACTTAATCCTCACTAGGGTCGTGGGGGGATGGAGTCTATCCCAGCTGACTCAGGATGAAGGCAGGGGACACCCTGGACAGGTCACCAGTCTATCACAGGGCCACACTTAGAGACAGACAACCAAGCACACTCACATTCACACCTACAGACAATTTAGAATCACCAATTAACCTCAACATGTTTTTGGACCTTGTGGGAGGAGAACCCGGAGAGAACCCACACTGCACGGGGAGAACATGCAAACTCCACACACAGAAAGATTCCGGTGCCTCCACCGGACGCAAACCAGCGACCTTCTTGCTGCGAGGCAACAGTGCTACCCACTGCGCCACCCTGCAGCCGCACCCTGCATCCACATGAGTTCTGTTTTTCTGTGTTCGATATGACAAGCAATGGCACCGACTACATAGCAGATCTATGTATACCTATTCTATGTATAGAGCCATGTGCACACCTGCAGACGGCACAAAACTGGCTCATATAGTCCTGCCCCGCTAGGAAATACAGCTTCTATTAAAACACGGTCATTCTTAAAGTCCCGATCTGAATAAAATGGGGTACAGTGCAGTTTTGATGGCAGAATATTATGTAGTGTTGGAATACAATGCAACGCTACAGTGTATAGTGCACGATCTGTGTAGGTGTACTACAAAATCACAGAGGTTATTTATAATTGTGGGGATGCTTTTACCAACAAGAGACTAATGGTGGGAGAAATGTAAAATCTGAAACAGTAATTCACAAATTCAGCTCTTTTTTTTAAAGTCCATACCGGTGTATATTCAAACATTATTTTGTCCTGCATTCGCTTGTATTACATTTTCTAGCATTTTAAAATTGGCAAAAAATATCCTTTTTATGTCATTGTACCGACAAAGAACCCAGACATGTAAGAAAGCGCTGTGCTCGAAAGAGTCCATAATGTCAAATATAGTTTTTTTTAATCTTCTCTCAGTAACTTCAGCGGAAACAATGCCTCATATTGTTTGTTGACATTGTGCAATTTACGGCACCGGAAACACAGGACTTAACGTTATGGAAAGGATTCTTACGGGGTGGCCTGAGGGACACGGTGTAAACTTCCTCTCAACTCTCATCTCTCGCTCACACTGGTGAAACCTCGTATCCACATACACAAGCGAATTCCTGCACATGCATAAGTTAACACACCAATGGCATTGTGTTAATGTACATTTTTAAAAAAAGCTGCTCTGCATATAAAGAAAAAAAAAATCTGTCCGCTACCTCACACAAATAAATTCCAGTATCTGCACAGTGGAGGAAAACTTTGCCAAACGTAAAGCATTTCAATTATGCTCATGAGGTTTGAGTTTCTTTTCGCTGCCGTCTGTGTGTATTTTACTGGTACGAGCATGGTTTTGGCTTTTTTGTGCAAACTGTGTGTGAGAGAGAGAGCTATACTTGGAAACTTTATCATTGTCCCTGATAGTGCAGAGCTCTGGGAGTGAGACTCATTTGACCTTTTTCTCAACCCCGGCTCTCCTGAGATGAGAGCAATCCAATGGACTCACATACTATATTTTTTTGCCTTACCTCATTAATGGATCTGTTACCAAAGTAAAATGCAGCCTGTGCACTTTTTTTTTTTTCTTTTCTCTTTATCTATACCCCCTAAAAACAATCTCAGAATACATAGTGGTACCTTTTCCAAAACCTTCCCAACCTTTAGGCTACAAATGATTCTTCTATCAAGACCACTTGAGGTGAATGCATATTTAAAAAATCCACAAGGAATTAAAAGTGCTTTGCGTGGCCTATTCATCACATGCTATTAGCACCGACTCCCATTTCTGCTTCCGTCTGGCACAGCAGGGTAAGAGACACTTAAGCCCTTACCAAAATAATGACAACCTTTTTCCTATAATGGTATTTTGTGTGTACACCTATCTGAGAGAGTAAATTTAGGCCTTTTGATGTGTGTTCATTTGTGCGCTTGCTTGCGTGCATGCATGTGCTTACCGGTGCTATTAGGTGACCACACTACAGTACAAAAAGCAATTACACCCCCAGCTCCCCTTCAGCTGAATTTAGCTGCTGTGAATGTGGACTTTTAGGAGAGCCTGGGGTGATCCGGCAATTGGAGCAAGAGACGGAAATGGGGTGAGACGGATGAAAAACAGGAGAGGAGAGGGATAGGTGTGTGTGAGTGAAAACGCTCAATCTGGAAGAGTGCCGATGTGCTATAATAGCTGCAGAGCGAGGCAATCTTGTGGAGTTGAATAGTGTTGAAAGTGCTAAGATGGAATGGTAAAAACAGAGCTTAGTCTGAGCTGGATGCTATTGTGAAGCAGAGGTCACATGCTGAAGGACAGATGCATCTAACATGGTTAGACTGCCCACGTCTGCCCTGTGTGAGAGATGATGGTGAATTTGTGAGCTCTACTATTTTCCACTTGCTTACCTTCCTCTATTTGTGCTCCTCAGGTGGGGTCAGGATGGGTCACTGACCTCAAAACACCTTTCCAAAAAAAAACCGCACCAAACTTACACCAAACATCCCAAAGGCAGCTGCAGCGAAGATTTAGGTGTGCGAGGACACAACGGTGGAAGAACAGAAGGTGCAACATTCAAATGTCAGATCAAAGCTTGCTTGCAGGAGGGCAGAGGATGAAAAGATTTTGGCCTTGATCTTAGAGACACACAAGCCCAAACATGTGCACATACATGCACACTGCAACAGGAAGCCAAATGGATGTAATGCCACCGTACGGCTCATCCAGATGGTTTGAAAGAGGAGCTCTGAGTTAAAAGTTTTCTTTTAGAACATAACCAGAAAACATTCTTCAGGCTTATTGGATAGAATTCAGACAGTCAGCAGGGTTTAAGTCAATTTAAATGGCAATTTGTTTACCATATGACCTCTCGCTATCCGTTGCTCAGTCGCTGGAGTGTTGGCCATAAGAAACTTAAATTGCATTAAGATGTAACTCTGCGTTCAACAAAAGAGCAAATAAAGGAAGGTGAGGGTCACAGGATTTGTTCATTTATTCGCTCAGAAGCGGATGCGCGGCTTTAACGGCTAACGCAGGATGAAGCAGAGTAAACATTTTAACATTCGTTTTGGTGGCCCTGCTCCAAATTACCTGAAAGAACATCGGATGAAAAAAAAAAAAATGCAGATAAAGGTGACAGCTGAAAAATCTATAACATCCCATACAGGTACCCAGTCTTCCAGTATTGCAGCTGATCCCAGGAGACAGACAAATGCCCCACTAGTTGCTCCTCGGAGATAATGAGCTGCTGAGTGCTGAGTAAGATGTTTGGAGGGCCAGAGGGCTGGGATTGGAGTTGCTTCACTGAGCTCTGTATGGAGAGGGCCTGGGCTTGACTCTAAATTAGTGAGCCTTCTGGATCAATGTGGGCTGTAATTAGCTGCTATTGATCCCAGACAGATCAGCCACTACAGTAGGCCACAGCCAAGCACCTCTCAACGTCCATCAAGCTCCATCCCCACAGCGCAGCAGCCCAGCCTCAGATCACTCTGAGAGCAAACAAATAATATCAGCCAACTCACTCAGCTCCTGGTAAGTGCACTAAAGATACAGTTCGACATTTCAGGATTCACTTACATATTCCATTAGCGCGCAGAGCAATGCATCTTTTTTGATTCAGTGTTTTATCTTGCGTTCCATTAAATCATATAGATTGCATTATGTGCTTGCGTAACGTGCGGGGGAGGGAGGGGGTAAAAATGGGCCAAATCTTCCGCTTCTTATCCTGATGCATCACCCATGAATCAGTTGTCATTAGTCGCCAGAACTGTGGACAACACTGGCGATGATGAGACGCAATCTGGCATTTGGAAAAACGAGATCCAATCTTCTCTGAAATGATCACAATCAAGACTTTTTTTTTTTTTTTTTAAAGAAAAAATATCTCATCAAAGTGAAGGAAGTGATTTTGCTCTTTTCACTAATGCTAATGATCTTGGCGCTCATTAGAAATGTGATAGGTGTTTTTCTCTTTTTTTTTTTTTTCTTTCCGGTCTTCAAAAAGCGGCCTCGTAGGGCGGCTCCCCGAGTGATTGGCAACAACAAGCCCCCATGTAAATGAGAATCTTTTCCGATTACTCATCTTTTCGCTCATCTCGAGAATCGTCGGCGACAGTTGTAGAGAAAAAGTTTCCTTTATTTCTTTCTCTCTTGCCTGAATTTGTAATCACAATAAAATATATGGTCTGTAATTAGAACGGGCCTGCCTGTCAGAGATATGAAGCTGAATTCAAAGCTTGAATTATTTAAGTCTATTAAACAAATGCAATTTAAACAAAGGCAAAAGAACTGTGAAATGTGGTCAAAATTACACTCCTCACATTCTAATTTCTCTTCAAGAGCCACTGTCTAAGGGCCTTGTACTTTCACGCCTAATAGACTTGAAATTTCTCCCTGCGTAAGTTAGAAATGATCATGCTCAAATCGTTTCAGAGAGCATGCTTCAAAGAACAGTAATGGCAACATTAAAGATTCAAACCTGTCCATTCTGTTCGCGGGGAGTTTATGAACAACCGGCTTCAATCTCACTGGGACATGCATCCGTGCGAGGTGTATAATTAACAGTGTTGACCTTTTCTAACAAACAATTTCTCTATTTAGAAATGCTGCCGAGGAAAGATGATTCTCACCCATGGGAGGCAGTAAAATCGAGGGGGCCCCGGTAGGAAAACAGCGGGACAGAAATAGCGCCTGTGAATAGTCTCAATCATGCATGTCATAGGATACGAAGAAGTAAAAGTTCTCCAACAGATGGACTTGCTTGTTTTTAAAGGCCTTTCATCCGAGAGGCTTCATCAGCTCTACTGATAGCGGCGATGAGAGCATTCAAATATGCTGTTTTATTCAAAGGTAATTCAGACTTTGGCCAACTTCACTGTTGAACATGAATAATTGCCTTTGCTTCCATCCAGTTCTGGCCTCAAACTTATTGAACTACTAGAATATCCAATTTCACCCAGTCCAAATGTCCTTTTGCTGCAGTCTGGCTTGGTTAGATTCAATATTGCGGTGATGTGTGCAATTCCAGGCCCAAATGAATCTCCCAGCACAAGCCCATCTCAGAAAAGATGTTTCCAGAGATTGAAGCGCAGGGATACCAGGTGGAAGAGTAGTAGTGCAAAGTGAGTGAGAGCAATTTGCACTCCGCGGGTTAAACCAAACTTTCTCTGATGTATAAAAAAAGAAACTTGAATCGGCAAGAAAAGGACGATAAGAAGTGATTTTCCCAAAGACTTTTGAGATGTTTGCGGAGGTTGTGGTTGTTGTTTTTCCTTTTTTTTTCCATCCTTTTGCCTACTACATTGGATCAAAAGGGATATTGTCTAGACTACACCCACCAACGAGCGCAGTGTGAGATGCCGGACTTAAAGTTTTACAAGAAACTACGAACAAATAAACAAGACCCTTCATGAGAACACTGGCAAAGGATATAAAAAGAAAGAAAAATCCTTCCTGTCAGCAATACATGTTTTGCTTTATTACCTTAACTGGAAACATCATTAACTAAGATGCTGAAAAAACAGGTATGAACACGCAACATACTGGTCTCTGGGTCAGCTGTCTGCTATAGAAGAAGAACATGAAGAAAAAGTTGGTTCTTTAGCTAATATAAACTAAAATGATTGCTTTTGTCATCCGTCACTGGCCAGATATGCACATTAGTCCAGCATCAGACAGCCTCAGGACTGCAGAGACTGTCGATGTTTTTAAAGGAAGGTTAAAGACACACCAGGCTTTTAAATTCTTTTTACATTCCTACAACATATATATATATAATATCATATGTATTACACTCTTAAAATTCACATAAAATCACACAGAGACCCTTATACACTAGAGAGGTTAGAGTTTAGAGCCACAGTGTCCCAAGAGGGGGGGCCCCCAAAACGGGGGCCCGTGCCGGGCCGCCGCCGGGGGGGCCGGCCCCACGCCCAGCGGAGGGCGCCCCACCCCACCGCGGGACGCCACTCCCCTGGCCGGGCCGGGGCAGGCCGGGCCCCGGCCCCCCCACCCCACAGGGCATGCGACGCCACCCCGCCCGGGCGGCCCAACCCAAGCGTGCCCCACGACACGAACCGCAATGCCATGTCTCCCTACGGTCAGTGGTGAGAGTGTGTGTTGTTCCAACCAAACACAGCTTTGTGATTGCATGGGTATGTCTGATTCCAAACCATGAGCTTTTCACAAACCAATTATTTCTGGTGCCTAAACTTCACCAAGTGTTTGTTTTAGTGTAAACAGTGAGTGAAAATGTGAACACAGTGACTAAAAATACCGACTGAAAACAAAAGCAAACAGTGACTAAAAACTGTTCATACGAGTGTGTTTGAATCCAAAAGATGATCTTTCTTCTCAATGGAACCAAATAGTTTTGCAGCCTACATTTAGCAAAGTAGTTTTGAAGCATAAACAAAAGCAACAAAAAAAAAGGAACCGAAAACAGCAGCATAAATAAAAGCAGTGAAAACGCTGCTAAACAACAGTCCAGCACAAGATATGGACTCAGTTCTGGGTGAAAATGATTTGAATAATCTCACCACCATCCCTGTTCACCACCTGTTACTGTGGACTTTGTTGCTCTTCGTGTGTAAAGCTAAAAAAAGTTGTGTATCACGAGTCACATGACATGGACACAAGCCAATGCAAAAGAAGAGGCTAAAAAACACATCTTCACAATTTTACAGCCGTGTGAAACTGATGTATTTTTGCATTGTAGACCAAAGTAGTTGTGTTTGCTGCAAAGACGTGTATACTTTTTGTCGGTGAAATTACATGAAGGCATCTTTGAAAGTAGCCCAGACTTAAGTGAAGAGTTTTAGATGAGGACATTTATGTCAGTACCATTTAGAGAAAAACAGTTTCAACATTTTTGGTTTTCTAAAACATAACAGTGTTGCTGTGTGGGTTTAATTTATGCTGCTTGTTTTTTAACAGGTTACGTGTGTGTTTCATCTTTGAGCCCTGCACAGGACCGTTTTCAAAATCCTGCTGGATTCCTGAACTTTGCCGGCCATTACATGAAGTGGGTGTTCTGCTTTCGCCTGCACCTGCAAGCATTCGTGCCTGCACAATTTAGATTTCCATTGATTATATGTCCTCGCCCAGCCTGCAATGAAAACAGTTTTTTAACTGTGTAGCATCAATGAATGCACATCTATCAGTCATAACGTCGCAAACTTATATTTACATCTTTAAGAATTTGGTATGCCAGGTTAGTAAGTACAGTTTTTTTTTACATGCCTCTTTACTTTCTTGTTTAATAGAAGAGAGCTTACGTTGACCTGGGAAAACGCAGTCGATGTCGCCTCAACCCAGAGGTGTCAGATTTGTGCTTGTAGCGCATCAGCAGTTTGCACATTTGTCGCAACAACGTTGGTTTTTTTTTTCCATCCGTGTCAGTGATGACTGGGTAATTTATCTACATGTCAGCCTTGCCTTGCTTGGCTTTCGTATTGTAAAAACCCACTGTAATCTTCTTTCCAACTTTATTTGTTAAAGTTCTTTTGGTTAGTGCTAAATCCTGGGACCAGTAGTTTATCTTTTGACTGCCTGCAGCAACTAAAAAAAAAAAACACCCTCTCCCATGAGATTTGCGTAGGATCCCGTGGGATCCCAGTCCCAGTGCAGTCCTCTAGCTCTGTCATATAAATATTACTTATGCGAATCAGTCACACTCCAGGAAAAAAAGTAAAGAAAAAAACCAACCTACAGTTTTTTAAATCAAAGAAGACACTTTTTTTTAAAATCCTAACATGATTTGTTAGAAGTAAAGATTTAATTCCTGGATCATTTTAGAAGGTCAGACTTTCTTTCTCAATGTATTTAGGACACTTTGTAGAACCCACAGTAATGTCATTCAAATGGCCCTGCCTGGATGACTGTGTTTGAGATTCTAGCTGCGTTGCATCCTGTAGTGTCCACTTGAGTCAGTGCTCAGACTCGGAGATGTGTCAGTGGCTCCGATTCGGCTTGTCAGGCATGCTCTAGCTTCTGGCCAGCCTGGTCCAGCCAGCCCCAGCCCTCCTCGCACTCCTGGGACCATCCACAGACAGCCATCACAACCCTGGTCTCTCTCTGTCTCTCATCCTCTCATCACCCGTCTCCTTGTCCCTCAATTCACACCACTGGAGTGTGAACATCAGGATTAGGTAAATGACGGGAGGAATCCAAAGTTGACTAGGCAAATGTCCTTTGGGTCTGTCTTCTATCCTGATATGTGGACTTTGGAAAGAAAGCCCCATCTCTCTTTTTTTTTTTTTTTGGTCTCTCAAGTTTAAAACTGAGTAGTTTGTTATTGCTTGGCGTTTGCATTAGCCCAATCAATTTCAATCAATTTCACCATCAACTGCATCAACAAACTTTAAAGCTTTTCTAGTACAGCATGAGGCCAATCAGGAAGATTCTCAATGTAGGAACCAGGAAATAGCAACACGCTAGATTGACTCACATCACTTAATGTCATTACCACCAGAGGGGAAGCTGTCAAAATGAAGATGAGCTCCACTGCCTTACACCTTCATTGCTCAGGGTGCTCCCATGTGTTAGGTATACACTCAAAAACAAAGCAGCCACTTTCCACGCATTCACAGCATTCCATTTTCGCGCAGCGCCTTTCACTCGATTCTATTCACTTCACTAATTTCAGGAAATGACTAAAATCTGAATGAGGAAAATGAAAAGCGCGGGCCCTCTGTTACGTTAGATCCACTCCAGGCTCTGTAAGCCTTATTGCATTCCCTCCTGCAATCGGTCTTGTTGTTTTAACAAGAGTCAAACCTGAACTGTACGGTAAATCTTTATCTGCGCCGTGCTGTGTGTATGTCTGAGTCCCCAGGGAAGGTTATTAGACAGTCATTAGTTTGGTTTCATCTACAGTGTGAAATTGTTGAAAAGCCTGGCAAACCTTTGACCCTTTTATGCAGCTGTATGGAATTTGGCTGCTACGTGGCACTTTGTTCCTTTGCCAGAATGGCTATTTCAGTCATTATAACAATAGTAAATTGCGGTAAGGGAACCAGCGCGTGGATTGGAGTTTATTCATTAACGCTCAATGTGTGTTATGGCGGGCTACTGCAAATGGAGAATCTGTCAGGTATGAAAAGGGCATATGAATGTTCTTTTTCTTGTTCCAACCTGTGCTTATTCCTTCAGCCAAACAAAAGGGCAAAAATATGTTATTTGTTGGGCCATTTGTTGCGTTATTACAAATGGCTGCTGCAGCCATTGTAACAACAGTGAATTGCAGTTTCTTTATAGAAAACAGTTGTAAACAACAGTGTGAAGTTTGGAGTATCCATCATGGCACGCTGTCCTATACGGTAGACTCTGTTTTGCCAGGATTTAATTCACTCACTTCACTCTGTTGGTTTTTGTTTGTGTTTTTTTTCAGTGCTGTGCAAAGGTTCCAGCCACTTTGGATGTTTATATTCGTATCCATCAAAACTTGAAGTCAAAGCACTCACTTAATTTAAAGCATTGCATTAATTTAATCATAAAGTCTACATAATCCATGGCAAAAATCCCACATTTTCATGAGAAAGTGGCGGCTGCACTATGAGGAAATAGGAATAAATCCAGATTGATGTCACATACATTGCTATAAAAATATCTTCTACATGCTTATGCACACACATTCATATTTATTATTGTTATAAACTGTACTTTTATTACATTTATTGCTTATAAAAAACAACACATGTCATTACTGACTTATTATTACGATTATTTGTATAGATCCTACCTATTAATAGATCCTATTGGCTATTTGATAACATCCTCAACACTTCCCTGCCCTTTTTTTCCCCTTTTATCGTCTATTTTAACGCTCGTATTGCAAAGTGTTATTACTGTAATAACCACTTTAAGTCATACTTATGATCATGATTGTTATTATTACTGATGTGTGCTTATGTTCGTTCTGATCCAACGCCATTACCTTTAATGATCTTGAGCTGTACACTTCTTGTTTTCTTGTATTCTGACCTCAAATGCGCATCTCAAATCCCTCACCCCCTCTTCTTTGTGTACATTTTTCCTAACCTTAAGTCAGTTGCTGCCCGAGGCTTATGAAGCAAATCTGGCCTTGCCTCCTGTCTCTGGTGGTTTGCGGTGGGCTGGACCCCGCCCCCCCTAAGGTGACTGTATTGTGGGTGGCTGTGGTGGGGGGCCACGGGTGCCCACACCTTGCCCCGCTTGGCCTTCTGCCCTGGGCTAAATCCATATTGCAAGCCTTGCTTCTTTTAATGCATTGCGCTAGCCGAGTGCTGACACATGAACATCTAACACAAACAGGCACATAACAAAGGAGGGGAAAAAAAGAAAAGAGTGGAAAAGGGAATTGAAAGTGAGAAAAGAACAAAAAAAAAAAAAAAACGGGGGCGGAGGTGACAAAAGGCAGGGGGGAAAAAAAGGGAAAGAGAAAATAGAAAACTGTACAAGAATAGCATAAGCGTAACGTGGATGGAAGCCTGCCTGGGATGGGGGGTGTCCTGTGGGGTTGAGGATATTGCTTGTGCCCTGGGCGCCACAGCATCTTTCCCTTCTGTCTCCCCGTGACCTACTCCCGGTGGGGCCTGGGTCGCTGGGGTCGTAGGGGGATGTGGGCCAGTCCATCAGATTTTCCCCTCATGTTTTACTTTCTCTAGCAAGACTTACTTTTTATATGTTGTTTTTAAGTTTCTATATAATTCCTCTCACATACGTGCTTTCACAGAAACACACACATATCTGCACCTTTAACTGTCTACTGCAATGTAAGATTATTATCCATCACACAGTACCATGAGGGAGATGTCTGATCCATTTCAGATTACCCCACCCATACATCTTCAGCGATAAGAAAGCCCAGCATCACAATGTAAGAACCCCCACAGAGCCTTGATCTGAACATCATCAATCCATCCCATTTGTTTTTTTTTCATTGAAATTACTTTTAAAAAACCATCATGGTCACTGGACAATCAAACGCAAAAGCTTTTTCACTGAGTATTCAGAGACGCTGTTTGTACATTCACATTTGGACCATATTTCACTTGAATTTGCCATAGGGATAATAGTTTCATCTTCCATTGTGCAAATAAAAATCCATCATCGTTTTGGAGCCTACGCAACAACAACAAAGATCCAGCAAGGGGAAGCAATATGAAAAAAAAACAAACTATGGCTGAAGCATTGACTCGTACCTATGACCTTGTTATTGCTAACAATGCCCTAAGCTACACAACTAACCGGCTACTGTAAAGATGCAACATGCTTATATTGTTTATATTGGAAGCAGCCTTCAAATTGGTTCCAGCGGTAAGCACAATTTCTTATTTTATATTAAGGTATACAACTGCTCCCCATTAGGATGTCCTTGAACCTTCTTGTTGGTTTCATTCCATATTAATGACATTTTATATGAAACATTAAACAGCATCTTCAGGTGGACCACATTTTGCCGACCAGTGTGATATGACTTTGAAGAGATTCCTTCTCACCAATCGATACGGCCTCTCTTTTTCTCGAACAATTAGTAAAATGATTAAACAAATTTGTGTTTTGCCGTAACCGCATTTTGGCAGGTTGAAAGGAGGGCGAGAAGAGATCTTAGACTTTCAGATCAAGTATCACCCAGTTTTCAAATCGACATTGAAATCCAGGTTGGTGCTCGCTGGGAGTCTGAGATTACATGAAGAGATAGAAGCAAATGAGACAGCCCAGATCCACACTAAAAGTGGTGCAAGTTCAAGACACTTGGAATAACCTCATGATGAGGTAACTTGGAAAACTGTGTGCAAGTGCCTAGAAGCGTGTTCTCATCATATAGTTTAGTGGATCCTGTATGAAACTTGGGCTGCAGGGTGGCGCAGTTGGTAGCACTGTTGCCTCGCAGCAAGAAGGTTGCCGGTTCGCGTCCGGGGGCACCGAAATCTTTCTGCGTGGAGTTTGCATGTTCTCCCCGTGCAGCGTGGGTTCTCTCCGGGTTCTCCGGCTTCCTCCCACACAGTCCAAAAACATGTTGAGGTTAATTGGTGACTGAATCGTCCGTAGGTGTGAATGTGAGTGTGCTTGGTTGTCTCTAAGTGTAGCCCTGTGATAGACTGGTGACCTGTCCAGGGTGTCCTCTGCCTTCACCCTGAGTCAGCTTGGATAGGCTCCAGCCCCCCGCGACCCTAGTGAGGATTTAGCGGTGTATAGATAATGGATGGATGGATGAAACTTGATACAAAAACTATCATGGCGTTGTTTTTGAAAGCATCCTCACCTGTGAAAAGTGCCTAAAACATTTGCGCAGAACTCTCCACACACAAAGAACTTTATTCATAACACCTTTGCACCTTCTTTTTCATGCAATTATGCAGTTGGCCAATCATGTGGCAACAGTGCAAGTCACAAAAGCGTTGCAGATAAAGGCCAGGAGCTTCAGTTAATGTTCACATCAATTAATGTTCACATCAAACATTACAGCGGGGAATACATGATATCAGTCATTTGGACTGTGGCTTGGTTGTTGGTGCCACATGGGCTGGTTTGAGTTTCTGAAACTGCTGATCTCCCAGGACTTTCACACACAACAGTCCACAGTCGCTGGCAGTTCTGTAGACAGAGAAGCTTAAATTGATGAGAGGGATCATAGAAGAACCGACTGGTCCGAGTTGATAGAAAAGCTACTGCAACTCAGATCACCACAGCAGCTGAAGACCATGTCGAGCTCCACTGCTGTCAGCCAAGAACCAAAATCTAAGGCTGGAGTCGGCACAGAATCACCAGAACTGGACAAGCGAAGACCGGCCACAGTCTGGTCTGATGAATTTTGTTTGTTTTGTTTTGTTTTTTTTGCTAAGGCTGCAGATGGTTAGGTCAAACATTGGCGTCAACAGCATGAATCCATGCCTTGTGTCAACAGCTGGTGGTGGTGGTGTAATGGTGTGGGAAATGTTTTCTTGGCACAGTTTGGGCCCCTTAATACCAATCAGTCATGGTTAGGATGCCACAGCCTATCTGAGTATTGTTGCTGACCATGTGCTGCCCTGTATTGCAATTTACCACCTTCTAATGCCCATTTTCGCAATTTAAACACAAAGCAAAAGTTATCTCAAATTGGTCTTTTGAATATGACAGTATGTTCAGTGGACTTCGACTGTCTCACCAGACACCAGATTTAAATCCAGCAGAACACATTTGAGATGTGGCTGAACAAAAGAGTTGCAGCATTAGTGTGAAACTGGCAAATCTTTATGTATAATGCAGCCATCATGGACCAGAATCCCAAAAGAATGTTTGCAGATCTTGTGGAATCCCTGCCATGAAGAACTGAAGCTATTTTAAGAGCAAAAGATGGAAAGATGTTTAAAAAAAGAAAGTAAAATTACTAAGTGCATATGTACATACAGTATTTTTATAGAGACACAAAAGGGTGAAAATCTCATGTTTTGAACATCTGTCTCTTTATCACAAGATGGCATCACTGTTGACATGAAATGTAATTAAGATTTAAAGAATACTCTGCCAATTACCTGTCTAATGGGGCGTTTATCAGCCCTCATTCTCCAAGCTGTCTGTCTTGCTGGCTGGCTCACTGAGAGGCAGGCAGATGCATGTGAAATTCCTGCCAATGTACAAGAGAGAGAAGCAGTTTTATGCAGGACAGTTGTCATTCAGCGGAAGGTCTTCAGGCCTGAAGAACCAGACCTCTTGTCCTCGTGCAGCTGATCAAAGTTATTGAAGGAGAAAGAGCAGACATTTCCCAGGTAGGAGAAGTTGTCGATCACCTCACCCACCAACGATCCAGAGCGCTACCTGTTCCTGTCGCTCAAGCATAAATGGTGAAAGGAGGGCACCATGAGCAGTGGGAGCGTAACCACACGGAACGATCCATATTCAGCGATGCAGTGATGTGGGCGGGGGGTTACCTTTTCCATCACCGGTGACACCTGAAAGACACCCTGCAGTGTTGCCCTGACAACAGTTATGAGCCTGCTTGCCCCCTGGGTGCGAGGTCAGGGTTGAGTGACATCTTGTCTTTCTGTCTTTTTGCTCCAGTGGGTGGTGCAGACTGATTGTGGCACAGCGGGATGTATGTATGTTTGCGAATGTGCATGGGTGTGCGGAGGGAAGGGGGAAGCGGCGGCGGCGGCGGCGGCGGCGGATTCACCACAAAAGAGGGGAAGCAAAGAGTCGTGGTGTGTGAGCGCGGTTCAGAGGTTGATGGTGATATTAAAGATGGTTGGGAGGGGAGGGTGGGTTAAATAAATGGAAAATGACAGGAAATGAAAGAAGATAGGCCTCTGCAGGTTGAATTCATTTTCTCTCACAATCAGATTCACCGCTGTTTGCTGTTCCACTGCAGGGGAATGCGCCTCATTAAAAACGGTCCGAATGTGTTGTTCGACATCGACGCAAGTGGGAGTTCATAATTCTAATGGCCATAAATCCACCTTGAAACACTTTTAAAAGGTTAAAACCACTTTTGGCAATTGCCTTACGCTGTGCATTATAAAATGATTAACTTTGTAAGTGGATCCAGGAGGATTTTTATTTAACTGCAGTGATATTTCATGTGCAGACTTGTATTTCACAAGCGGTAAACTGTCCAGAAGATGGCCCAGTACTACTTGAGCAGTGGAGAACTAGTGTTTCTGCTCGATGGTGGACGCTCTTGTACAACTGCACACAAGCGAAACCGTGATTTGATCGAGAAATCAGGTTCTCTGACGGTCTACAGTTGAGTCACCACGAATAGATTGTCGCTGGTGAGGAACAATGCAAATTGTTTACAAGAACACACAATGTGCCTTCATTCCAAAACCACCATGATTCGTTTAGAAGGAAAACAATACGATTAAATTCTGCTAATGTTTCCCTTCAAATGTATTTACATCAAATTAGAGCGCATATTATGTATAACGAACCACAATATCTGGTTGGATGTCATCTGAATTCAAATGTACATATTTGTTGTGAAAACTATGAAACCGTATCGATATCCAAAAAAGATTTTATTATGATTGATAATTCATCATCCAGATTACAACCACATTTATATTAAAGAGCTTTTTTACAAAATATTGCATCAGTGAATCATGACAAAGTCCATCCACTTTAATGAACCTTAATATCCTAATATAGCTGCAGGTAACCTCGTGTGATATGATCCATCGTGTGTGCATGTGTGTGTGTGTGTGTGTGTGTGTGTGTGTGTGTGGCTTTTATGTATTTTTAGCATGCTCATTTCTTTCCACATGTACCACACCACCATAAAAAAAAAATCACATTATCCTTCCATTTGTGGCTGAGATCATAGACCG